ACTCTCGGCTGGCCTGGGAACACCTTGGCATTCCCCCGGAGGAGCTGGAGGAAGTGTCTGGAGAGAGGGAAGTCTGGGCATCGTTGCTTAGACTGCTGCCCCCGTGACTCGGTTCCGGATAAGCAGAGGAAAATGGATGGATGGAAGCTAATTTGCTGTTGGTGCAGCTATAACTATCAGTTTTCATACCATGGCGCAAAAGTACCAAGTACCAAACCCTATTGGTGATGTTCACAGTTTTTAGGCCCTGATAAATAAAACCACAGAAGTGAAGGAGAGCATACTTTCTTTTTACCACAACTGCATTACACAGATGACAGACACCTGCAGCAAAGTGCACCAATATGTTATATGTGTGTATACTACTGTGAGGATTCTTACCTGGCTCTCGCCCTTCTTGTACTCCAGGGAACAGTCGAGCAGGATGATTCGAGGCTCCCTGATCATGCGTCTCATCCTGGGGTGAGTCACATCCTTGTTGACCATGACACCTCTGAGGACACATGAGTCCTCGATGATTCCCCCTGGAACCTGAACACAACAGCTGTCAAATGAACTGGAGGTGAAAGGTCAAGGCTGTTCAGAGAGGTGGTGTCCTCAGAGCCCTACCTTTTCCACTTTGGCGTACTTCTTGATGTCAATCTCTTTGCGGCCATTGTCCTCCAGCTCCACTGTGCGGACGGCATCCAGAGCAATGCTGCAGGCCAGCTCGGACCAGCGACTCAGAGCTTTGGTGTTGATGGCGGAGTGGATGATCTTCAGCATCATGGAGCGAACTGACGTGTCCACGGGGGTGCTGAGAACCAGGAGGGTTAAAGGTCAAACAGGGACCAAACAGGCAGTGAATCTGCAGCGGGACTGCTAGCTCCTCCCAAACCTAACCCGTTCTTAATATAACGGTTCCCCCCACATTGTGATGTTATGAAAGCACACAGAGCTGTGTGTCTGCATTTGTTCTAATCATTTTCCAAGAAAAATGTTCCAACTTCAAAATTCTGGCTGAAGGTGGAGCTGGCAAGTCCAGTCTCCAGTGCGGCAGCAGAGCGCAGGCTGAGTTTTCCGATCTAAATTATAACAGGAAGGAGAAATCATCTGTCCGAAGAAGCAAAATCAACTGACAATCACCTCTGCGGCACATTAGGTTACAGCAGGTCAGCTGAGTTCAAGACAGTTAACCAAACTTTCTGTCAGTGGGATGTTCATATTTTAATTGTCTAATTTTGTAAAATTGCAATGTTCATTCTTGCTTCTTTATAAATGGCTGCAAAGTTTCTAGTGGCTTCCGCTGTCCCTGCAGGAAAAAGTCATGTGTTGAAATGAAAAGTGGCTGCACATAAACTTGTTCCATATATTAATTAATAAAAATGAAATGAAAATGAATAAAAATTAAATGCTTTTAAATAGGATCTGTATTGCCACTAAAAATGAAAATGTAATTGACAGGTAATAGTAAATTATGGAATTTTGATGGCTGTCTAACGAAATGAGATGCACCAAGTATAGTCTCAGCTGCCCCTCATCCACCGCATCAGTTGCTTTTTTCAGTTTGTTCATCAGTGCTATAGCCATTATTGGGATTTTCAGCAGCCTTACTGCAAGTTAGGGTGAATTCCTCTCAGTTTTCTTATTTGTCAAAATGATGGATGACTTTCAGATTTCTCCGTCATTATTTAAAAAATTCTGTCAAAGACAAAGTATTCAGTTAACGTAACCTCTGGTGTGGCATAAAATAAACTTACGATTGCTGAACTCTAAGTGTGTAACTGCCCTAGGTCTTTGTACTAGTGACAAACCCTGGGAAAGTCTGGTCTGATCAAACATGTGCAATTCAAATCAAACAAACTATGCCCAACTATTCCAGCTTTAAACTGGCTTACAAACACCTGAGTATACCTGATTTCTTTCAGAGCATCCAGCATGTCCTCCAGAGCCTGTCTGTAGGCGCTGATGATGACAGTTGGATGCATCTGCTGCTCCAGGAACTGCTCCGCCACAGACAGCATCTCTCCAGCTACAGACACAGGCCAATAAAAATCATGAGGCCAAACTGAATCTCTGGGTAAACAGCAGCTCGCTGATGCCTGGCAAGCGTTCTCTGTACATGGATTAACAGGTTAGCCGGATAATTTTGTCGACGATGTATTTAATTTGTCACCCACCCATCTTTCTGCATTTTGCAGAGTTCCATTTTTGCAGTTATGTGCAAATCAAATCTTTAAATTCTGACTCTCCAGCAGAACCTCTCTCTGCTGCAGTGACAAACTGCATTCTCTCCTTAAACATCTGCATGTAGCCAACCAGAACTCAGCTGTTGATACATATGGTCTAGTCACTGACCACAAGAGCATGCACTTATCCTGGATGACTGAATCCAGCTTTTCTAATCCGAAATACCCAAATAACCTTATCTGGCATTAGAAAATCCAGAATTGCTCATTTGATCTGGGATCTGTTTATCACCATACCAAGAACACCTGAAGGCTTCACACTAGAACCTGGTGTAGGGGTGAGGAAACATGCAGTTCACTGGCCCTCACCCAGGATGATGACTGACGTGGTACCGTCTCCCACCTCCTCATCCTGTGTGCGGCTGATCTCTATCATCGACTTGGCTGCAGGATGCTGCACCTGGATCTGTTGCCATGGAGACACAGGCAGGCAGAAGTCAACACATCATACTGTGAACTGTAAATCAGTGCTATACTTCATGTCTTTGCTGACCTCTCTGAGGATGGCGTTTCCATCATTGGTCATGACGATTCCTCCTGTGGGGTCAAGCAACATCTGCACACACAGTCAGCAGCATGTCAATGCTCAAACATCACGTTCATTATTGAAACTTATCAGACAGTGTTGAGTTCACTTACAATACAGTTTCTCACAAAGTTAGATTCTACTTGTCACTGATGGGGGTGGGGCAAAGGACACACAGGTGCACTAATTATTTACTGAATATAGTAGTACTTTAATTATTCTGCACTGAAGAACAGAAACAAGGCCGCTTTGCTTCTACATTACTCTGTGTTTGCTCCATCTGCCCTGTTGGTTCTGATACCAGCTATGCTCAAATGACGAAAGAGTAATGACTCTTAAGGGAATACTACCCAGATTAATCAATAACAAAACTATTATATACAGATGTGGCTCCAACATGTGATAACACGCTCAAAGTCTTAGTCAAACTGTTGACAAAAGTCAGTGACACACATGGTGTAGAGTGTATGTGACTGCTTCTGTTGACAACTCAGCAGAGTCCAGACACACTTTAAATAACTACATCTTAAATTAGACACATTGCTGTTCAATATGTCCTCCAGTCGGTCAGAGACATCAGGCTAATTTCTGTTGTGATTGGATATTGAGGACATCTCACCTTCATCATGGCCCGAGGGCCAAGGCAGGTCCTGATCACATCTGCAATAGTCTGAAACACAGTGTCGCATTAGAAGCTGAATTCAAAAATGTCTCAAAGTCACAGCTTGTCTTCAGTAATGAGACAGATTTTACAGTGGACCACAATACACTATTCAGGGGTTCAGTCTGGTTCATTGTTCAACATCTGATTTCTACCTCAGACAAAAACAACACAACTATACCACCTTTAACTGACAGCTGGCCATCTACCAGGAGGCAAATATACCAGAGGGACACTCAATGAAATGTAGGAAAACAAACATATACCATATTTTGCGCACCATAAGGCGCACCAGATTATAAGGCGCAATCTCAATTACGAGGTCTATTTCTGTACTTAACCCATACATAAGGCGCACCGTATTATAAGGCGCATGCTAAAACGTAACGGAAGCAAAACAGTGAGTTTAGTTGAACTTTATTCTATTTAAACAATAGTTGAACTTTATTCTATTTAACAATACACTCACATTATTTTTTAATCAATCTTCTCCCACAAATCCATCAAAGTCCTCATCTTCTGTGTCTGAATTGAACAGCTGGGCAATTTCGCCATCAAACATGCCGGGTTCCCTCTCATCATTGTCGGAGTCAGTCTCGTTGCCAGGTGGCTGTTCAGCAATGATGCCGGCTTTCGCGAAAGCTCGGACAACAGTTAAAGCAGATA